ATTTGTTGAATTTTATTATAGAGGCAGAAAGAGAGAGAGAGAGAGAGAGAGAGAGAGAGAGAGAGAGAGAGAGAGAGAGAGAAGATTCCGTAATTTGATCAGAATGAAGCGGATTAAGTGCAACAATTACTTTGCATTGCGCAACGTTCGCGAGATCGCCTTATTCTAAACAGTCATAATAATTAATCCTTACGTCACGATCTAGTTTTAATTTTAATACATATCACCGAAGCGCGGAAAGTGCAGAGACCTGCTTATCGTCCGTTGCTAATTTTACATCGCATTACACGCACCGTCCAGGTTTCCGTTGCCGTTGGCAGGTAACGAGGTAGTCGTTTTTTCGCCGCGATGCGGCTATGTCAAAAATATATTTTTAGAGAGAGAGAGAGAGAGTGTGTGTCAGAGTTAATCTATCATATCTCCTCGCGCGCGCGAGTTTATTTTCCGAGCGATTTAACTTACATCAACCGTATTTCCTCGCTTTAATAATCTCGCTTTAATAATCTGTTAAACGATTTTTGTTTGGAATGAATTAATTCACAAGATGATAAAAAAAATAATGAGTATTTGCGCGTATAGATGCGGAAATTTTTAATTGCGGGTTTTCTTTTATTCTCCGCTCCGAAACCCTCGCAAACGACCGTAATTCGAGGCGGCGCGAGTTAAATGAACGTTTAACATTTATACATATGTATATTTGTATGTCGCATATTTTAAATAGTGAAATCGACACGTCGCGGATCGCGAGGTCCAATTTGCTGAATTATCGCGTATTGCCAGCGTGGGATCGTTATCTAAAGTAGTCACCCAAGCGAGTTGTTAAATACGGCAATTTGCGCCAAGTGAATCTACTTAATTATTGATATTAATCAAGTGACGCATGATTAAACGCGCGGTATTCCGAATACCGTAATAATCGTTCGCTTCCGCGCGCGATTACGAAATTCTCTCAATGGCACAGGCACATGTGGCATTTCGTGTGTGTCATAATTCGATTGTTGTTATTTCCCCTGCATAATTGTACGTTCACCGCACGCATTTGACGCTCCGTCACTCGAATGTGTATCTCTTTCTCTCTTTCCCTGAGCTTTATTCCCGCGAAGGACAACTTAGTCACTCGACATTGCAACGCTCTTGACGCAATTGAGCGAAGAAAAAAAAGAAAAAGTTTTAAGTTCCCATCGGGAAGTTTCCCAGATAACGAGCGAAGAGAACAACGCTACATAGGAGAACTGTGATAAATCGGGGAACGCGCGTGTGAGATACGCGCTAAGAAATATCCATATATTTCGATAAACCCGACCCTCCTTCCGCGTTTCTCCGTAAAGCTCTAAACGCGCTGAGGTTAATGATAGGACTCTGTAACGAGCAATAAAACAATCCATTTAATTGAATTATGATAAAATATGATAAAAACGTCTTTCTCGGGACAGATGCGCGGAATTATCTCGATATCGCCCGGGGCGATAACGACGTTATGACAATTGTCCAGGGAATTTCGTTATCGATACGTCAGTAATCGACAAGACGCCCGTGCTGCAACGCTCGTCACCGTTGTCCACGTTGTACTTGTCTGCCGTCAGTTGACACCGGTGTCTTGACGGACGCGAGGCTCCGTTTCGTAGCCGCCTCGAAAGCCGCTACGAATTTCGCCAGTCCGATTTATCTTTCGCCCGAGAACACGTTGCAAATAACGTGCGTGAACGTGACCGATAGTCCGTTGTGCCTTTAATTACTTTGCGGGACGGTACTGTCACTCGATGCGTGAAAGCCTCGGATTAAATTACGAGAAAATCGTCCCTCGACGAACGTTACTCGAAGAAAAGGAAGGATCTGTTCGGTAAACTGTCTACAGGCATGGGAGCGACTTACTTTCCTCGCTTGCTTCAAAACGTTTCAATTCTTTCCATTTTTAACAGAAAAAATTCACTTTTCTCACTTTTTTCTTACTTGACTTGAGTTCTTTCAGAAAAAGAAAAAAAGAAAAGAAATAACTCGATCGTAAGAAATCATGTGCAGTACTAGTTGTAGTACTTTGTTTTAGAGACAAAATAAAAGATTCAGTAAGATAGAAAGTAACGGTGTCTCTAGCGACACAATGTTTGTAAAATAAAGGACCGCGATGTTATTTTTATGCTGTTTTTATCAGGTTTGTTAGAAACAGACGATAATCATATCACGAGCATATCTGTGTTTCCTTTAAATTGCGTAATAAAATCATTTGCTCACGATTTGTCCACGTTTATTTATCTATAATTCTGGTTTGTCCACCAAGCCAAAACAAGTTTTTTACAAATGAAACTAAGAAAACAGACAACGATCGTCAGAAGCACACCTGACTCTATATTTTCTTTTAATTATTGATATTATTGAATATTATTTTTTAATATTATTCTTAGAAGTTGACTAATTAGCTTGCTTTTAATGGAAAAATCGTTTAATTTAAATATTTCTTCATTTTGTTTCTAAAATATATCACAACGTAGCTTAAATGGACTAAAGTATTGTTTGTATCTTATTTCATTAAATATGTTTGAAAAAACACAAAGAATTTGATTTTTTTATAAAGTGTTCTATTGTATCTGAATATGTGCTTAAAACTGAGTTTAAAAGTGAATTTTAAATTCTACGTTTCACACGTAACTTTTTGTTCCCCAAAATTCAAATTTTACTCTTCATTAACTTTGACTAGACAAGATCAGTGTTTTTAATCTCTTAGAGGGACGGTCATAGATAAACCATTTAATTTTTAACGTCCAAATTATTTGGAAAATTTTCATTTTTTACTCACTTCTTTTAAATCTGACTCGCTTTTTTCTTACTTTTTCAAGAATGAAACTCATTTTCCTCACTATTTTTGACAGTCAAACCGTTCCCGCGTCTGCGTCTACTGTGCGACGACTGAAATAAAAGCGTGACGCGAAAACACGATCGGAGAAATATATACTCCGCGAGTTTATCGCAACAAACGTGGCCCGGGCGGAAGATAGACATCATTACGAAGCGACCCAATGATGAGCACCGAAAATCGCTAGTGATAACGAATCGTGGTCATTCCGGACGATTATCGTGACACTCACGGTTGGATCTTACTCGTTATTAGAGCCTCGATGGCGATGGTGCTCGCGGCGCGAGTGTCCGGTAGGCGCGTTTTCTTGGATTGGACGGTGTAAAAAATAAAGAAAAGTAATTGAAAACGATCGAAAATGTCAGTGTCTCTCGGAAGAGTACGAAAATACTCCCTGGTGCCGTACCTGGATCGCTGTCCGGAGTATCATGGGACCTATAAGGTAACATCGAGTATCTCATTTCGTAAGATACGCGTTTTTCGTTGCAGCGCGCAACGAACAAGCCGACGTTGGCGAAAATTGGAAGGGGAGGGAAAGAAAGTTTGGCGAGGAGAGAACAAGAGCGCCGGAATGAGAACCTCTCCGAAGGTCGCCGTCCTGTCGCACCCTTCTTCGATCCTATCTGCCATTGTGCTGCACGGGAATTCACGTGAATGCGCATAACGAGCCGACCACGGGGCGCCTACTATTAATGCCTTCTCGCGTAACAATTTGTTATTTCTCGCGATTGTGCTCGATTCGCGATTCGTCGCTAAGTACGCGCACTCCCGCACTCGACAATTTGCCGCACGGTTGATGAATGTGGTATATTTTCATACGAAATATCGTTGTCTTCTGCGCTTTATGAATGTGGCGGAATTAATCCTCCGGCAGCCTCTATCTTGAATTATCTGCCAGAGATGGAAAATTAGAGTAGGAAAGTGTGCCCGACGAGATCGATCAGTCTACTCGGAGTTAGCTGAAAAAATTCGTTCCCGAAGAGAATATTATATAGCTTCTTCCATATAGATTCTTCTCGATTTTGTTATGTTTTTTTTAGTAGTGCGGGAATAGACTGTTAGTAGAGTTTTGCTAAAGAGAACTCTGTAAACTTTTTATTAGTATATTTCGCGACTCCTAAAATATAAATAACACATATAAAACGGAAGGTTGATTAAATTAATCCAGAATGTTGATATGTTCTCTTCTCAAATCACCAAAATTTTATAACAATTTTTACTATAAAATTTTCTTTCCGAGTAGACAAATGATAGTTCGCTTTATTTCCAATAAAAGGAGCAATCTAATAAAAGATAATTAAAAAAATTCAGAAATAAATGATAGTGTGTGAATGGTGATTTAAAAAAAAATATAAAATCGTTTATAGATTGAAAATTATTAATCGTGATTGTTACGTATTATATATTAGTAAGCTGTTGCTTCTTTCAAGCAATCGAAACTCCTATGACGATCTGAACTCACGAAGTTCGTCGCTCACGCGACGGACACATTGCAGTTAACGACGCGTAATTTGCAATCTGCCGTACATTCTGTGGTCCTAGCTTGGCTGAATAACAGAACAAAAATAGACATATAACTCGGGAAAATGTTAAGCGCTTCGGGAACCACGAACAAAGTGGAACGTCCGCGCGTGCCGTTGGACATTCTCCAGATAGGAGACTTACATTGGGAGAAGTCCAGAAATACATTCACCATATTATGTAATTGGCATGATCGGGTGTGGCCTTGTTATCAATTTCCTTTATCCCTGGTCTGATACGGCGTTGTTAATTTTTAGCGTTAAATTGATTACGCGAGTTTTCGCGTGCGAGAGTATCTTCGCATGTTGCGCTCGGACTGAGGTATAAAGAATACGCGTAAATAAGGATGCGTGAGTAAGGATAAATATATCGCGTTATCGGCTGTCGTGCGATTAAACCGCGATATCTAATCGCCGTTTGTGCGCCGTTTGTGTCTTAGGTTCACCGCTTACAATAAGCCGGACGATTCGAAGTCATCGGGCTTCCAGGAAATCACGAGATCCTCGAGATTTCGTATTAACTCAGACAGACAGCTACACACACACACACACACACACACGTTCTCGCGCGCTACAACCACAATTACGCGCGTGTATCCCGAAAATAACACACTTGTTCGTTGATTTTCCAGGAACTTGGCTCGCAACCGCTCCCAACGATTGTCACCGAAGATGCGGATAATTCGAACCATGGTTCTCAAGGTCACAGGCCACGGGCAGGTGAGTTGGTAATCGGCGATCCCGCACATGCATATTCACTGAGGAAAGAAAGAGCAGTTGGACCGACCAAATCCGCGATCACCTACGTTCAAAGAAATATCGCGTCCAACGCGATACATTGCGTTGATATAATAGTTACTGACCAAATCGCAGTTATTGAATCAATTGGCAACTCGTCGCGACCACTGTATAATTTGTTCGATCGACTAAACGTTTGCTCGAACGAATTTTGTTCATCCACGCCAAGTCTCGTTGGCAGTCTTACTTTTTTTTTTCCTCAGTGTAATTGTTATTACTTGCTCGAGTAAATATGTTGAAATCCACAACGAGCGGAACGACATTTACGTTCAACGAAAAGTTCATACTGTATCATTACTATATCGAATAGTTATTGACTTGGGTTTCTTATTCGAGCAAAAGAAAAAAAAAACGGAGTATACTGACATGCCCGACGTAAAAATACTGAAACGATTTCAATCGCAGATACATGGGGCTCACACTCGAAGTCGATCAAGAAGTCGTCTTATGGGAGTGCACCCAGTTCTGGAAAATCGACACCTCTTCCGCAGCCGGCGGAACCGTCGAGCTCGTCGAGTTCCGGCAAGGACAGCAAGGGCGGCCGAAAGGCTTCCGGCACTCGGTCCGGTTCGACCAGTCGCAGTAACAGTCGTAGTAATAGCGCGGAACGCAGAAGAAGCGGCGGTGCTGCCGATGACACCGCCAGCCCTACTAGGAAACCGGCGCTCTTTGACGCTTTCAGACCGAGGAGCAAGTCGGACGCTAGCAAGAGGAAACCCAGTATTATAGCTAATATGAAAAGTGCCGTTCAGGTGAGGGCCAAAAGATACCAAAATATTTGAAACGCGCATAAGCAGCTTCAACTGCGATATCGTTAGAAATTCGAAAAAAAAAAAAGCGTAACTTTAGTTTCAAGTGTATAACATAACTTTTTATTTTATTTTACTTATATTATTTTACTTTATGCTTGTATATTTTTATACATATATGTATATTAATGTCCCCTTTTCTCTTCTTCACATCATATATCTTCTTTTCCTTTTTCTGAAAGAGCATTTTCTCGCTAATCAACGAATAAATATGTACATACGCATACATATATGTGTATAAATATATACCGATCCCATTTTGATGTTTTTCAGCATTCCTTGCACAGAGGATCGCACGGGAGCTCGTCGGTGGATGTACGTATAGAAAAGGAGCATCACAAGGAAAGTCAGAAGGAACAAAGAGACAGTAAGGATTATCAGGGCGGCCGGCCCAGAGCTGGATCCGAGAGTAGCAGAAATCCTGTGAGCAAAGTCATGGATCTCATTAGGCACAGGAGCCACAGTGCCTTGAGCGCGGAGGACAAGCGGAAAGCGGTAAGCAAACACTTTTGCAGTTGTCATAAACTTGAAGAACGCGCCGGTAAAGTGGTCGCGCTTATACCCGTTCGTCAATAGTGCGTAAATATGTATGAAGAATCGCGTCGACGAGGAGGAAAAGACGTATCGGTAACCCAGACTCTCTGTCATCGACATGATGCCGAGAATCCACTTTGGCAAAGATAGATATCTCTCTTATCGTTGCGCTGCCCGTCAAGAGGAGTAGGCAAAAGCGTTTCCTACCATTTCTCACCTTTCGATTCTCGGTTGATGGATGGGCAGATATTATCCTGTCAAGTCCACGTGATAAATGATAACGCCCTATCGATATAGCGGGAATCGTATGCAAACAGGTGTAATTGATAGGAAAAGTAATNGGGGGGGGGGGGGATACGCGAAGACCGTATCGCTCGTGCTTCAAGATTGTAGATTGTGCTCTTAACCGTTAACTGACAATTATCGGGATGATTTTATGCGTGTATTGACTTAATTCTGCTAGCGATTGTTGCCTTGTGAAGAAATGTTTGTCGATATAATAATATGTATTATAATATTATAAAGAGCACACACATATATAAAGATATATTTTACGGATTTATGTACAAGGAAAACGTTTATCTCCTTAAATATAGTGAGGACAAGCTCTCGAAATCTGCCGGCGGTGGACGAAAATTTTTATGCGATAAAAGCAGTCGTCAAAATATCATTACTTTAAGGGCTCAGATATAAAGAAAGGAATAAGGGGAAGAAGGAATTAAATATAGAAAATTATAAATAAGCTATTAGTTTAAAATACGATAAACATAAATAATAAGATATAAGAACGTTTTAAAACGAGAGATCACCATTTTTATTATTTTCTAATGAACCTCCACTGTCATCATTAATACTTTTAGCATTTTCTTGATAATTATCAATTCATTCAAACTGATTTTTATTTGTATATTGATGATTATTAGACACTTTGAAAGTTAACTTTTAGTCAACTGTTAAACCTTAGAAGCGCGTCAGGAATAAAAAATAAAATTTCAACAGTGTTCCTGATCCTAGGAACTAGGTCCTTATTCCTTTATTGTGGATTGAAGCATGGTTGCCGGAATTTAATTCTTTGTTCCTGCTTCCTTATATTTAATTCCTTATTTCTTATTCCTTTTATTGTGTCTGAGCGCTAACGTACGGAAAATAATTCAACCAAATTACTCGTTCAAATTGATAATTTTTCTTCAACATTACCGATGTATACTTCACACTCGATCGAATTAGGAAAAAAAGCCGCGTTAAAAATCTGCCCGCGATAATCGAGTTAGTCGAGGGATTCCACATAGGATGTCAATGACGTTAGTCTGATTAGCAGCACACCGTTAAAATTCGATCTTGATCTTTGGAGGGAACTACCACACGCGATCGTCTTCGTCGTCAAAACAATGACGCAACGTTACGAAAGAATAATAATTTACAATTAGCGATATCCGTACCGTTAATTAAATCTTCTTACCTTCAACCGGACACTCGCGCGGTCTTATCACGGCGCGTATTTTTGCACGTATTTTCGTGCACATATCTTTCATGAAACGAAAAACATCATCGTACCTCGCACGAATACCTACCGACCCTGACCCGACTGTTCGTCATACTTCGGTCATGGTGCGCGTTTCATTTGTTAACATTAAAACTCGTTTCGTCTTCCGTCTCGGCCGGCGAACGCGCTTTACGCAATAACCGATTTTTTCGCTTGCTCAAGACGAAGAAACGCCTAAGTTGTCGGCTCAAGACGAAGAAAGGCGTAAAGTGTTGGCCCGTACGTGTCGCGCAATTATATAGACCACTCGATACGCTTAAATAATTATTGCAGGCGCGAGAAAAAGATGCGTTTTTACGTGGGTCGCAAGGACGACTTGGCGTGTTCGCAATTCCACTCGTTCCTCGATTGCCGCGGCTGTGTGCGCTTAAATTCGCGAGGTTTTGCACGTGGTAGGATTCACGTCGGGCAGGTGCCACGGTTATTTACGAAAGAATATGACGGGCGCAGTCGTGCAACGACAGCCGTCGCCGCCGGTGAGTGGGAGGTAGCACGTGTATGCGCGAGTGTGACGTGTGCGTGTGTGTGCGTGTCAGACGGAAAGAGACGGAAAGGAGACACGTTTTCCACTCAGTGACACGCCGCACTCGTGACACCGAACACGTAGAAGAGCAATCGCGCTTTTTGCTTTCGCGACCGAGAAAGCGCGCGTGTGTATGTGTGTGCGCGTACTACCGGCTGATTATTTGTGCGGATCGGTGGAAATTCGTGAGATCGATCGATGGGAGGATCACGAGCGATCTTTGATTAGAGCAGCTTTGAGGAGGAGACGATGCCCTTTTCGGGATAATCTCTTTAGGAGATTTTCTTTCAACGAACAAGAAGATCCGAGAATTCATTAAACTTTTCCACCCGAGTTCGCGCTGAGATCACCACACGAACTGCTCGTGATACATGGATTCCGTGAGTGCTCGAAATCTCGGGGATCTCCTCGCCACGTTAAATCGCAATTGTATTCGGTTAATCGACGAAGTAAATTGCTTCGCGGCTTCGTGAGGTCTCCCAAAGGAGAGTCGAGAATGCGCGTATTTGGAAAGATTCGCCGCCGCCACAGCCTTAGATGAATCTTCGGCTCTCTCACTCTCTCACCGTGAGTTATAGTCTCTTGTAGGAGACGCGTAAGTCACCTCGGGTTACCGACAATAGGAGATTTGCATTGGAAAAATCCCGGGCTGTTTGCAGCACGCTTTTCAAATCGCGATAACACGCGCGGTCGCGCCCAGTAAACACCGCTCTCGTCGAAGGGAGAATGCTACGCTGCATTCTGGGGAAACGCGATTCCGCGTAAAATGCAATCCCGTCGGCGGTCTCGTCCATATTAGCGGCGACTTTGCGGTTAATTGGCCGGTCGGCCGGCCAAAGCGGCGGGGAAAACACGTGTCGTGAGCGACATTGAGCGAGCTTTCGGAGTAAGCGATCATGGCAAATGATACGGTTGGCGATTCGTGACGCGATGTGTGGCCCTAATGCCGACACGGCGAATATGCGCTGCACCTGTGACATATGGCCCGTGCGTCGTCGTATTAGTGATCGCGTTTGTTTATCGCTAACGAGTAACGCGTGTCGCATCTATTGCTGCTACACCGCGCGGCCGTGGAATTTGCATTAATTATCTCGCATTCGTCGAACTTGGCGAGTGAGACGATAGACTCAGTGCCGGGCGAGAGCGACTTTCCGTCGACGATCGATCGAAACTCCGCGGAATTTCTTCCTGCACGGTGAAGGAGGCCGTTCGTTTTTCGCAGACGCAAATCTTTTGCGCGTCGAGATACGTGGTCCGTAATTAGGCAATTACTCCCGAGCGTTAATGGACGAGTCGAGTGAACGAAGCGGCAGCGGGAGTGACGTGAAATGTCGCGACTTTGATCCGTCGGTTATGGTATCACGCTCGACGACGACGTGCTTGTAAAGAGGACGGATAAGAAATCCAGCGGACTCCTCGAGATGTCGTCGTACTTCCGATGGATCAAGAGCGGGAAGAAGGACGAATATTACGGAGCGAAACCGAGAAGCCGCTCCTTGGACGCCAAGAGTCTCGAGGCGTCTGGTATTCGACTGATTTTGCAAAATGTATACAAGTCTCTCAGTTTTCACTTTCTTTTTCTCTGCTTCTTACTTTGCGAGGCGGAATATGCGCATAAGCTGGAAACGATAACGTCGCGCTTAGAATAGACTAATGTTATCGCCAGGCGCTAATGCCAGGGATATTGCATAAATTAACTTCTTTTTTTAAATTCAACGGAAAGTTAATGGCGTATACAATTAATTTAAAAGTAACCTAACAAAAACTAATTAAAAGCTACGTTAAAATTAAATTGATTTATTAAGGTTATAATTTAATTATGTGAAACTCTATCTCTCTTTCTCTCTCCGTCTCTCTCTCTCTCTACACACACACACACACACACACACAGAGTCTCATATAACTAACTTCTAACTTAAGTTACTTTATCCAACCTTGATTGATGCCTTGTTATTCTGGACTGTAAACATGAAACGAAAAACGTTACATCGTCGGGACTCGTATATTTACTCGATAAATCGACTCGACGCGAAATATTTGTCGTTGCACGGTTGCTCGAACAACGAATAGAAATTTTTCTTTTGTGTAACGTAGCAAAAAGGAAGAAAACTAGTCTGAGTAATTCGGTTGTTTTTTTTTTGTTGCAGAGAGCGGCGGTGCAGCATCAGGCACAAACAGCGCCACAGAGTGAGTACAGCGCCCGTAATTAAACCATTATTAAAGTTTGTTTAATTTTGTTGTCGGCGAGAAAGCACGCGTATCGCGATAACCGACAAATATGGCACGGACCGATAACGCACCGCCGGTGCATGCGGCGCGACTCGCCCAGGTTTTACCGATGCTTCGGTGTAGAGATAATCGTTTTGAGTGGAAAAACGTATATACCTTCGCTAAAAAAAAATTATGTAACTGCAATTTTGTTTTTTTTACTCGATGACGCGTCACGTTTATCCCTGTTTCGACCTATAGACGGGGAGTCGTGAAGTATAGTTTCGTGATGTTACTTATCGATCAACTTTTCCTGCGAGTATTAACGCGAGTACCGACGAGGTGCAGAATTCGAGTGTTCACTGCGGCATTCAGGTAGGATTAATCCCTTGCGTGCATTCCTTTGGCCAAGGATTGAAGCCGCCGAGTGCAGTTGCCGGCGAGTTCACGGTGCGATCTTCAATTCCACGAGTATGATCTTTCAGCAAATGCAGGAAGGCACACTTAAATCCGGGATTCACAGTTAGATCTTATATTTAACCCTCTAACCGCAAGGTTGGGGTCGGATGCGACTCCACGACTCGTTTATTTTACAATGTGTACGCGTTGTTTCTCTTCCTAAGGAATGTTTCACGTTATTATTTACTTCTTTTACTCATTTTTTATACGGATGACATAAAAAAATGAACAAAACAGAGCATGTGGTCAGATTCAACCCTACTTTCCTGGTTAAAAATTCACCTTGTTGTTAAAGGGTTAAGATCATCAGAAGTTTGTCTTCAGATGCTGCACAGCTCGTTTTATCGGTTAAAAAGCATCTGACGGTGAACTTCAGACGAATATGAATGCGTTTGCGGTCCGACTCGCGCTTGCAGCGCTAACAACGTGGTGCTCACGGTCGGTCCGATTTACGCTCACGATGTTCTTCTCACATAGTGACGTCATAGTTCGTGCCGCTTACAGAGCTCACGGTGCTCCGGAGGTGGGTCAACGTGAGCGCGAACGTTAGATGAGCGGTGGATGATCGGAAAAATATGAGCGCCGTGGGCGATGTAAACGTGAATCGAACCGCAGCTGATGACTATGAATACCGCCCTTAGGCCCGGTTGCATCAACATTATGTTGACTTTAAGCGACACTTAAAACTTTAAATTCGTTGTATCAAAGTATAAGAGAAACTTAAGGTACTTTAATTTGCACTAATCTTAATTAGATGAGCTCAAATTAAAGCACTTCAGATTTTTACTTTGACACGATTTTAAAGTTCCAAGTTTCTCGCTTAAGTCCAAAGTGAGTTTGGTGCAGTCAGCCTTTAAAAACTTAAATCCAATTCTATATTTGAGTAATCCTACTCGATGAATAGCGTAGTATTTCATTGACTAATCAGGACCAAAAGAGCAAAGATATCTTCATCAGGATTGGTTAATTAACACCATTCTGTCCGTCGAGTAATATTTTGGAACACACAGCTTATAAGGCCTGATTGCATCAAACTCCGATTAAATTAAACGATGATTAACTCTTACAGGGTTACCAACTGAAATTTCTGTTTAATCAGAGACGTTGAGAAAGAGAAGAAGTTTTAGAAATTTCAGTTGCAATCCTATAAATTAATTATTGCTTCTTATTGTAATTTAGCTTGATCGGAATTTGATGTAACCGGGCCTAATGCCTGCTTTTACCATCATGCTTTAAATCTAATCGATTTAATCGATAATTAAGTCAACGGAAATTAACCGATCGCATTGGCCAATTAGCTGAACTGATCAATGCAACTGGTCAATTCCGTTGAGTTAATCGTCGATTTAAACCATGAAGTACTATTGCACCGCCATGTTAATCCGGTTTAGTAACAACCGTAATTGTAAATTCTTACATCCAATTGGTATATTCTTTTAGATCTAATCACAATATACCTCAATTAAATGCAAGAGCCCACTAACTACGGTTGCTGCCAAACCGGATTAACGTTGCCGTGTAATAAGACTCCATGATAGTAGAAACGGGCATGAGTAACAAACTTCTATCCAATTCGAAGTGCGATCTTTCATCGTTCGCGTTGCGAATTTGTACCCGGGAATTTGTTCTCGGGTAAGCGGAGCTGTTCGAGGCTCTGAACTCGAAGAAAGATCCTGCGGCGTCAGTCTCGAATTTCGACGTTGCGACCCACCGAACTATCAGTTCCCGCGACAATTCGATCGGGGCACACGCCGCCACCTAGCGGCAGAGCGAGTCTCCTGACACGTTCGAGAGACCGAGCTGTACCGACGATTAGTTTTCAGCGCTGCACTTTTTCGCACTCGACTTGCCCGCCGAGCAGACTCGACGCTGAGTCCGCCGCCGGCAGATGGCATCGCCGTGTCGCTTTCGGGGGCAATTCGAACGCGACGCGCTCGTATGCGGTCGCGGCTGCGGCGCGACGCGCGGCAGTGCACGTTTCAACGCGGACCGTGACGATCGATGCCCGCGAGACTCGAAATCGGTCGGCGCACTCCGCCGGTTCGTAACATCACAACGCGCGCTGCGAGACCAACGGCTTCGATTTGAAGGTCGCGTTCTCACCGCCGGTGGCCTTCGCGCGCGCGCGCGTACTCGCGCCTTTCTTCTCGTGGCTGATACTTCTGCCCGAAAGAGGTGCGCGCAGCCAAGTGCCGCTTTCTCTCGCTCGCGCGCGCGCGCCCCCGTGTCAACAAACACGACCGGAACGACGATCCGCGTTCGTAAACATCCGCGCGGCGTGTCGCGCCTGTCGACGACACGCAGCAGCCCGGCTGCTACGTGCCGACAGCGGCTCGCACTATGAGTGCTCTTCGTTAATGTTACGTTTCGCGAAGGACGCGAAGAGAGCGAGCGGGGGTTAGTGTGTGTGTTCTCGATGAATCGCCGTTATCGTGCGTCACAGCGTCGCTTCCTGCGCCCTGGTGTTTTCTACGTGAACACGTGACGGTGACCGCATCGCGCGCCTCGAGAGGAAGAGGGATCATCTTTTCGCCGCATACGCCGGGGGATTCGAACGGCAGGTAAGTGCGGTTCAATAAAACGGGAGTAATTACGCGAGCAAATCCCTCATGCGATATCCCGCATATATCCCGCATTGCGAGCGTTGTTCGCGTCGGTGGGAAGAGAGGAGTGAAGAGCGGGTGAGAGGCAGAGAAAGAGAGAGAGAGAGAGAGAGAGAGTGAAAGACCTGTAAAAAGCGCTAGATAAGATTCGCATCGTCTCGCGCTCGTCTCGGCGGTCAATCACGGCCGCGCGCTGCATCCTTACACTTTATCGAGGTTTTTCTGTCGAGCGTTATCTCCGCACGCCGGCGGCGAGAGCGTAAAGTCCACTTCGAGGGGGAATATGAAAACAACAGCCGGAGATGTGTGTGTGTGTGTGTGTCGCGGAACGCGGCCAGTCGATCCGATATCTCGGCGCGATCTCGGCATTCGGCGTTTCCTCAAACCTTTCTCGCCATTACGTAACCGAGCCGCGCGCGGCCTACGTGAACGCGCTGACAAACAGAGAGACGGTCGGACGGACGGACGGACGGACCGCACCGAAAAAGGGGAGAGGCTTTTTATCGCCGAGGAGGAATTGAGTCAGAGAGCCGGCTGGCGGTATCTCGCGAAGTGAGCCGCGAGCAACTACGTCGTTCCCGAGCCTCGTCATTGACTCGCCGCGTGCCCGTACTTCTTCCCCAATCACTGACACGTAATTTAGACCCTCGCCCGCACCTTTCACCCCGTCACCCCGCACTGCCGTTTTCGCTTTCGACGACCGAACGACGCGGTCTCGTTCGTGAGAATGAGATAGAGTCATCCTTGTTACACGTTTTCGTACGCCTTTATGTTGTAACGATTCGGGGAACCCACGGGCGGACGGACGGCTCGATTCTCGGCCGCGTGTTGCAGCGAAGGGTTTTCGTTGGCCTTGACGGAACCGGTCTTGAAGTAGATTCGCGCGTCGATAGTTCGACGTTTGGAACCGGAAACGGCGCGCACGAGACGTGCCGGGCGCGAGTATTCGCTCTCGAATTACGCGAGAGAAAGAGAGAGAGAGAGACATTTATTATCGTTGTAGGACATGGCCCTTTAATATCCTCTTCTACCACCATGGTTGAAATCTAATCGACGATTAACTCAATAGAATCGATCAATCGTATTGATCGGTTCACAGCTAATTTGTCAATGCGATTGGTTATCCGTTGAGTTAATTGTCGATTAGATTTAACCCTCCTTTAATCACAATATCCAATAGATGTTCAAGGTACGATCTATCGCTGTTACTATACGGCTCAAGGTCGAACTCGTCCTTGTCAATGTTCTTTCTTTGATCTTTTTGTTCTTCATTGTTTTTTTATGTACTTTAATACCTCCTGGTCTATTAGCCAAGTGCTAAGGAGGCAAAATTGGTTGCAAAAAGCAGAGGAAAGTAATGGAAAAATTAGTGTATCTGTGAGATATTTCGCGTCTGTTTATGGATGAAAATATCGCGACTAACGGAGGATTACAAACCACGATGGTATAAACAGGCATGAGTGCATTACAAAGTAGGTACGATTTCGCATTGACGGTTATATTTTTTACAATTAGTTTAATCTAGGACCTCGGCTGGTTCGTTTTTTATCTATTTGTAAGCTTTTTTTCCCCTATTTGGATTTTCATAAGTGGTTCTAGGGGAAAAAATTGTCGCGTTCTAATGTTCATTGTTGTACGGAAACAAATATTTTGTGGGCATAGTAAGTTTCTCAATTACTATACTACGGACAACAAAGATTTTTTACATGGAAGAAACAACTTTTGTTGCTGCTCCAACAAGTCAATCCCAGCTTTGCTGAAATTTTGCTGTTCGAACAAACCTTTCTTTGCTATCCGTACAGTAACTGACAAATTTGCTGTGCCAGCAAAATATTTTTTCCCGTGTGAAGAAAATGAGATTTGAATTTGAAAGGGTAGGACTTGGCTTGCGCACCTGAAATCGGAATTCGCCGGGAA